TGTTCTACAACGCCTTAAATCAGACAAAAGAAGAGCTTAAAAAGTGTATGTCGTTTGCACTTTTATTTTGATAAATGTTTCATCCGGCAACATCGCACAATGAAATGGCAGCAAATATCCAGTTAAGTTCTAAAATTCTGTAGAGAGCGCGAGTGGACTTGGAGTGCTTCAAATTTTGGCGGTAAATGTCACTAGTTTTATACCGCTTAAATTGAGTAGAAGGAAAGATGACTACATATGAAGAATGGAAGAAATTACAGTGAATGCAAGAAAGGGGTAGTTTTCGATGCAATTTACAACTTCCTCGCACATTAGCCAAGTCGGTGCTCGCTTAATTTTCAAGCAAAAAATTCGAACAAAAAAGCATTGGAGAGTGCATTTCATTAGCAATAATGTGTTTGAAAAATTGAAATCGGATTATGTATTTAGCCGCTGCTGCATCAAACGCGCGCAAACAGGTAAAACGTTGATTCAGTGACCTTGAATAAAAACATGCTAGTATTCAAGACGCTGCAGAAAGAAAACTATAGAAGATAGAAGGGTGCTGTCGCTGAGTTTTTTATAGCAAAAAACTTCAGCTACAACATTCATTTGAAACTTTTTGTTATTGGCCCATCCCTTTGAGCAGCGTTTTCCATAAACCGCAAATTACCCCTAAAAACCACCCCTAACTAAAAACCCTATGGAAGTACAAGGTCGCAAACTTAATATGTTATTAAGCACATGAAAATGAACTGATCCCCCCCCAAAAAATGTTAACTTCTAATTATGTTCAGGTAAAATTCCTTCATTGCTTGGCCTATTATTTTATCACAACTATTATGATTTTTAAATATTATTGTATTATTAATGTACTTAGATAGAAGTTTTACCATTTCTTGATTTTTTTCTGCTGAACAAAAGTCCTTATTTGACAATGAAAACTCTTCCAGCATCAACACAGATTAGCACTGTTTGGTTTGCCTTAATAAATCTTTGTTCCATGACTCGCGTTATTTCACTTTTGATTCAATATTCGGTATAAACAACACACGGTATAAACAAAATTGAGTCGGAAATTAAATCGCAAGGAAATCACAGGGAACCAGTCGTTTGTTTACTGGCTTACTTACTCAAAAGTGACGTCATTCGTTCTGAATGGCATTTAACATAATATGGCGGACCTTCGTATTTTGCAGTTTTATTTTATCAAAATAATCATCAATCTGGCTCCTAATAAAAAAATAAATGCGTGTTTCGTATTCCATGAGTCAAGCTTCATCAAATGGAAACACAATTTAAGTGATTTTCAATTATTGTCATCTTGCCTATTCTTCAATAAGAATGAGAAGAAACCAAATTCGTAAATAATGTTGCGTTAACAGTTGTTTTAATTTTAAACTCGCCAAATTTCTATGAGGGGAACAGAGTAGCTCATGAAAAGTGAAAACTGTCATTGGGGCCTGCATAAACCCGTAAACCAAACCCTACTGCAAGCAACCTCGAGATTTAGTATTCTGGTTTTCAAAAACGTTCACCGCTTTCCAGTCGCTCGGCACTTTTAATGTAAATATTGACAGTTGAAAATTGATTTTTTGCAACTTTGACAGGCTCTAAAACCTAAACCGTTAATTTTAGAGGAAACCCGATTTTACATTCCTATCTTAGATTTTTATAAACTATCAGTTGATGTACTAATTCAATGCGATTATAAACTTAAACAGCGCAAAAACAGCTGAACCAGATATCAACATTTATGGTATATTTGGAATCAGAAAACAAAAATCTATCATTCTAGCGAAATATATACAGGGTGTCTGATTTTTAAAGAAATATATATTATTTTGTTTTTTTTTTTAACTTTCTGCAACACACAAGCAGATCCATAAGGTCAGCAACAGAAAGCCACATACTTTTGTATACAAATTATATTTCTCAAATCCTAAAAAAATGATGTAACATAAAAATTACTCATAAAAGATGAATAATTCTACAAATAAAATTTAAAAAAAAGTGTGAGAAGAAATGGTCAAAACTTAAATAATTAATATCTAAAAATCTGGTAATATAAAAGTACAAAGTAAAAAAAAAAAAAATCGTTCAACATAGTTTTGCCTAAAAGGGAAGTTTTACATACAGGGTGTCCCAGCTAAAACGAAACAGAGGAGTTTTTGCGTATTTAGAATTATTTAAATGAAAAACACTCGGACACGTCGATTTTTGCATGAAAGGGGACAACTTTCAGATTCATCTTTATTGACCTACCTGTCATCCCTTAGCGGGGGCGCGTTCAACCCCTAAAAATTAAATAGGGAAAGTGGGTCGACTGACCCCTCAAATGAAAGCTCTTTAAATTCTCTTTTCAACGGTACCACATTTATTGACATTTATGTCAAAAAATTTGACAATGACGCGTCCCACCCAAAACGAAACAAGGCAATTTAAAGGCATTTCTCGTTTTAAAAGCAAAAAAACGGCTAACACGTGAAATTTGTGTTCGACTGGAAATTAATCTGTGAATATTTTTCAACCCCTAAGTTGAAACCCCACGCAGCGGTGACATCCACCCTTAATGACTCAAATGGAATGAGGGGATTAAAGGCACCTCATTTGTAAGCTTATTACTGCTTCTTTTCAACGCTGTCTAGTTTCAAGAATATCTTTGAAATTTTCGTGGAAAATTATGAAAAAATCTCTTCTCTGAAAAAATTCTATCAAAGACTTCTAATAAACAAAATAACATTGAAGATAACAGAAAAAATGTAAACAAGTTTCTACTAATATGGGGATATCTGTTTACTGCATGGGCAGTAGATATCTTTTAATAAATCTCTTTAAGTAGATTTATTTTGCTCGTATTCAGTGTAGGGCCTTTTGTTTAAAGTAACATTAAATATCAGCAATGGTTTATTCTACTGCCGAGAAGGTTGAAATAATTGAATTGTTGTTTGGACATAACTCATGTGCCAATAGAATAGCAGAGTTATTTAATGTTCATCGTCCATCCAATTAGTAGCAAAATTTAGAGAAACTGGAAGTGTTCTTAGAAAGTAGCATGTCCGACCTGCTGTAGTTAACGATGAAGTTACGCAAGTAGCAGTTCTGGGTCAACTCCATGCCAGACCAGGAATGAGTGTCGGACAATTGGCAGCAGGCACAGGAGTAAGTAGAAGTAGTGCTCACAGAATTTTAAAGTTACACAAATTTTATCCTTACAATTTTCACCTGGCGCAAGAATTAAACGAAGATGATTACGATAGACGAATACAATTCTGTGAAGAACTAAGCGAAATGCTTATAGCTAATCCTCTTCTTCTTGACAACATTTGCTTTTCGGATGAGTGTACATTTTTACTCAACGGAACCGTAAATCGTCACAACTGTCGCTACTGGGCTGATGAAAATCCTAAACACCTGCGTGAGGTTCATATTCAGTACCCTAAAAAATTAAATGTGTGGGCTGGAATCTTTGGCGACTCCCTTGTTGGTCCGTTTTTTCTAAATGGAAATTTAGATGGAGAAATGTATCAGACTCTTTTGGGAGACGCCATAAATCCTAGAATAACAGAGATTATCGAGAATGGAAATCACTATGACAAAAATCAAGTCGTTTTTCAACAAGATGGAGCTCCTCCGCATTATGCTGCACTGGTTCTAGAATATTAATTTAGTAACAATAGAGCTCCACATTAGTAAAAACTTGTTTACATTTTTTCTGTTATCTTCGATGTTATTTTGTTTATTAGAGGTCTTTAATAGAATTTTTTTAGAGAAGTTTTATTTTTTCATAATTTTCCACGAAAATTTCAAAGATATTCCTGAAATGAGACAGCGGTGAAAAGAAGCAGTAATAAGCTTACAAATGAGGTGCCTTTCATCTCCTCATTCCATATGAGACTTTAAGGGTGGATCTCACCGCTGCGTGGGGTTTCAACTTAGGGGTTGAATAATATTCGCAGAATAATTTCCAGTCGAACACAAATTTCACGTGTTAGCCGTTTTTTTGCTTTTAAAACGAGAAATGCCTTTAAATTGCCTTGTTTCGTTTTGGGTGGGACGCGTCATTGTCAAATTTTTTGACATAAATGTCAATAAATGTGGTACCGTTGAAAAGAGAATTTAAAGAGCTTTCATTTGAGGGGTCAGCCGACCCACTTTCCCTATTTAATTTTTAGGGGTTGAACGCGCCCCCGCTAAGGGATGACAGGTAGGTCATTAAAAAGGAATTAGAAAGTTGTCCCCTTTCATGCAAAAATCGACGTGTCCGAGTGTTTTTCATTTAAATAATTCTAAATATGCAGAAACTCCTCTGTTTCGTTTTAGCTGGGACACCCTGTACCTGAATACCCAGTCTCAAAACGATTTACAGAAAATAGAGAAAAAGTTGGACCTTGACCAATAATTTAAAAGTTTTCCTTGAGAATTTGCAAAAAATGATTTTATTTGCCAAGAAATCTGTGATGGTTTGTGTGACAAAGTTAATTAAAGAAAAAATAAAAATCAGTTGATAAATACGAATCTTACAGTTTATCTGTTTAACACTTTAATATTCTTATCAATAAATACCACATGATGTTTAAAAACATTTGATCCATAACATTTTTGGGGATTTCAAGACACCCAAATTGGCCTAAGTTGGCAAATTTGTCTGAGATGAAATAACATTTTGTGAAACCTTTCCCAATTAGCCTTTGTTTCTCTAAATTCTTATAGAGGATAAAAAATAATTATTGAAATGTAATAGTATGTTCACTTTTCTCAAATTAACTAACAATTAAGGTCATTTATACACCACTGTTAGCATAATATGTTATATCCTACAGCACAAAAGACGATAAAAAAAAAAAAACATTTTTGTCTGCATTACCATGATCTACTGTCAGTGGCATAACATGGTAACAAGCCGAAAGTGGTGCTAATGAGATTTAAAATTACAACAAAAAAAATTAAATAACATAACAAATTAAAAATGTGATTAAAATTCTCACAGATGGCAATTCTGAAGATTATCCCAAATTTGTTTAAGAAATATTAATAAACTCGGATATTTTCCTGGTTGGTTTTCCTGCATCAGCAGATAACTTTTTGAACTTGGAAATCTTTGGCTTTTTCATTACTTGTGATGGATATAAATCTTGTTGGCTGGATCCGCCCAAGCCATCGTAACTAAAGTTAACTCGTTTGTATTTTGTTACACTTTCTACAGGTTCTTGAGAAGATTTTGATGAAGGTACTGATTTGAATATGGTGAACTAAGGAATTAATATAAAAATTAAAAGATTTTTTGAATAATTTGGTGACAATCCTTACCTTATTGGCATCTGGTTTTTCGGCACATCTTTTTGCTCTCTGCATTGCAAACAACCCCATGGATGATGGAGCTAGAGGAGAATCTTGACCGAGGTCTTGACATAAATCTATCAGATCATCTTTTTTATTGCAATCCTATAAATAAATCAAAATTATTTATCAAAACTGTGATTAGCTAGATCAGTGTTGTCAACCGTACTATAATTATAGTATTTTTGTACTATAATTGAATGGTTATGTACTATGTACTATCAAAGGTCATTATAGTACGCCTAAAATACTATAATTATGCATTATCAAATTATTTAGTTTTTTACTGGAAAATAAATCCAAAAAAATAGACAAAAAAATGCACGCTCATCAGTGGGGTACGAGATGAGGTCATCAGCGTCAGCACTTCATCCACTTCGTGAACGCAACGCAACCATCCCTGCCCAGTTCTTCCAATTCTTTATTCCAACGCAAAATGCAAGAGAAAATTCACTTTTTCGAAATTGGTTCAAAATAGGTTTGAAACGGGCAATGGTGTTTCCACTGACTGTTTCAAACTGGTTTTGAGCCAATGTAAAAAAAGTGGACGCAAGAAAACGGCTTAGATGTTTTTTAAGTGTTTCAATTCAAATTAAAAATACTATACCACTGTGAATGGAGCATTATAACCATGGATAGTTAGTAGTTGTGCTCTTTTTTTTTACCTAGGTTGGCATGCAAACCGTTATTCTAATTTTCCTAAACCTATTTTCTTGGCGTGCAAGCCCTTATCCTGATTCCTTATTCTAGTTCTCCTTACCCAATTTTAAATCCTAATTTGTTGGCTGCAAGCCCTTAATCTATTCACTTCTTAATCCTAATTTGTTGCCTAATCCTACTCTCTATTAACAACAGGTCCTAATTCTATTGGTTTCCTAATGTGTTGGCGTGCAAACCCTTATGTCTAGTCACTTGTGGTTGTGTGTGATTTTCCTAAGCGGGTCCTTTTTTTTATACCAAGAAAGATGTTATCGAACGCACCCCTATTTAATTTTTAAAATTATTTTTAATTTTGTTGTTTTTCGCGGGAAAAATAAATTTGAAATTTTAGTGTGATGCGCCCCTGACTTTTCTCTTTTTCTCCAGAAAATGTCATAATTTTTCCTTGAATAGTTTTCCAGAAAAAAAAATAAAATGTTAAATGGTGCATTTATGCCTAATTTAGTTGATTTTCATTAATTTCCAGTGGGTATATTTTCCACTGGAAAAATTTGAAATTTTACTAAGATACATCCCTGACTTTCCTCTTTTTTTCCAGGAAATGTCATAATTTTCCCCTGAATAGTTTTCCAGAAGGAAAATAAAATGTTGGATGGTGCATTTATGCCTAATTTAGTTGATTTTCTTTGGATATATTTTCCACTGGAAAAATCTGAAATTTTACTATGATACGCCCCTGATTTTCTTCTTTTTTTTCAGAAAATGTCATAATTTTCCCTTGAATAGTTTTCCAGAAAAAAAATAAAAAGTTAGATTGTGCATTTATGCCTGATTTAGTTGATTTTCATTAATTTCAAATGGGGTTATTTTTCACTCAAACAATCTGAAATTTTACTATGATACGCCCCTGATCTTCTTCTTTTTTTCCAAAAAATGTCATAATTTTCCCTTGAATAGTTTTCCAGAAAAAAAATAAAATGTAAGATGGTGTATTTATGCCTAATTTAGTTGATATTCATTAATTTTCAATGGGGTTATTTTCCACTGGAAAAATTTGAAATTTTACTATGATACGCCCCTGACTTTCCTCTTTTTTTCCAAAAAAGTCATAATTTTCTCCTGGGCAGTTTTCCAGGAAAAAAATAAAATGTTGGATGGTGCATATATGTCGAATTTAATTGATTTTCATTAATTTCCAATGGGGTTATTTTTCACTGGAAAAATTTGAAATTTTAGCATGATACACCCCTGACTTTTCTCGTTTCGTCCAGAAAATTTCATAATTTTTCTTTGGATTGTTTTCCAAAAAAAAAATTAAATGTTAGATGGTGCATTTATGTCTAATTTAATTGATTTTCATTGATTTCCAATGGGGTTATTTTTCACTGGAAAATTTTGAAATTTTAGTATGATACGCCCATGACTTTTATTTTTTTTTCCAAAAAATTTCATAATTTTTCTTTGGATAATTTTCCAGAAAAAAAAAAAATGTTTAGTTGATTTTCATTAATTTCCAATGGGGTTATTTTCCACTGGAAAAATTTGAAATTTTACTATGATACGTCCCTGACTTTCCTATTTTTTTCCAGAAAATGTCATAATTTTCCTCTAAATAGTTTTCCAGAAGAAAAATAAAATGTCGAATGGCACATTTATGCCTAATTTAGTCGATTTTCATTAATTTCCAATGGGGTTATTTTCCACTAGCAAAATCTGAAATTTTACTATGATACGCCCCTGATTTTCTTCTTTTTTTCCAGAAAATGTCATAATTTTCCCTTAACCTTCCAGCGAGCGCGCTGTCGCAAAATTTACGACAAATACGCATTATCGCTTCCCCCACTCTATCCACTTAGCGCGCGCATCGAGCTTTGAGCTATTCCATGGTCAGTATCTCTCTAAACTACAGACGTATCGGGTGTTCTCAGAAGTTTTTGTAACTCAGTGATATTTGGGAGTTTCCGTGAAGCGTAAATTTTACGACACGCGCCTTAGTGTAAGTATATTAGATAACTTACTTTTTCCTATATTTTTTTCTCGTTTCTTTTATAGCTAAATGTATGTTTTTCTTTTACACGTATTCCATTATGGCTCGTAGGCTGTTTACACAAAAAGAAGTAGAAGGAATTGCTGAAGATTTATATGATGAGCCAGAGCAAGATTACCACTTACATTCCATGTGGGAGTTGTTTTATTCAAGAAAGTCAAATATATGTTTTCAAAAGTACTGTTATTTTCGTTTTTGATAACCTTTCATCAATTCTCCAGTATTTATAAAAAGAAAACACTATTTACATGGAGAAAAAATGGTGACGTAAAATTTACGACAAGCGCCCGCTCAAATGAAATGACACAGCCAGTATTGCCAACTTTATGAATAGCCATTTTACCAGATTATAAAACTTGGAATACCAGAATATTACTAGATTTTTCTCAATCCTGCCAATACCAGAATATTACTAGGTCTTTGTTGCTAAACAAAAATTGTGCTAAAATTTTTAGATTTCAATTGTTTATTTTAATTTTTTTTTTTTGTTTTTCTCGTTAGGTTTAAAATAAAAATGCAATAACAGTATCAAGTATGGAAAAATAAAACTTATTCAGATTAAATAACACTGCATGCATACCTAATGTATACACAGGATACCTTTAAACAAATACATTATTGTAAAAAAAAATCCATTCTGTATAACATAACATTACAGATATTGGTAAATATGCTTAGGCCCGGTTTGTTCATCTTCAGATAAGCTCCTTGGTAACTATCTGCAAGATAAGTGCTAACTATAAGTGCACCGTTCTATAATTCTATTGGTCGGCGGATAACTGGCCAACCAATGGGATAACATATTTCGTTTATATATGGGTCAGATTGCATACCTGACAGTTTATCAGAAGGTGAATAAACCGGCCCTTATAGAGGTATATTGGTAAGCTTTGGCATAACTATTTAAGACTAGTCTCCATAGACGCAAAATAGCAATTTATTTTTTGCGGATTTCTTTCCTATTGCTTCAAATTTCACATTCAAATGTCCAATGTCAAATTCCAACATGTGAAAATGTCACTTTAGGCGTTGATTATCGTTAAAGCTCCCTCAAAATGGACGGTGCAAACGACCACAAATTCAAGAAAAATAGATTATTGATTGCTAATGCGAAAATACCAGAATTTTGCTGGAATGAAATGTCAAATTACCAGAAATATTACTAGATATATTTTGAAAATCTTCATTACTAAAACCGGGGTCGATATTACCAGATCTGGTAATTATTTTACCAAGTTGGCAACACTGGACACAGCGCGCCCGCTGGAAGGTTAATAGTTTTCTAGAAAAAAATAAAATGTTAGTTGGTGCATTTGTGCCTAATTTAGTTGATATTCATTAATTTCCACTGGAAAATTTTGAAATTTCACTATGATACGCCCCTGACTTTCCTCTTTTTTCCAGAAAATGTCATAATTTTCTCCTGAACAGTTTTCCAGGAAAAAAATAAAATGTTAGATGGTGCATTTATGTCTAATTTTATTGATTTTCATTAATTTCCAATGGGGTTATTTTTCACTGGAAAATTTTGAAATTTTAGTATGATATGCCCGCGACTGTTCTTTTTTTTCCAAAAAATTTCATAATTTTTCTTTGGATAGTTTTCCAAAAAATAAATAAAATGTTTAATTGATTTTCATTAATTTCCAATGGGGTTATTTTCCACTGGAAAAATTTGAACTTTTACTATGATACGTCCCTGACTTTCCTATTTTTTTCCCGAAAATGTCATAATTTTCCCCTGAAGAGTTTTCCAGAAAAAAAATAAAATATTAGATGGTGCATTTATGCCTAATTTAGTTGATTTTCATCAATTTCCAATGGGGTTATTTTCCACTGAAAAAATCTGAAATTTTACTATGATACGCCCCTGATTTTCTTCTTTTTTATATACACATATATCTATTTATTTATTTTTTATCGAACTATTATTATTAATTTTTAACCTTTTGTATTTGTATTTCGTTTACATATTTCTTTTTTTTTTATATACATATTTATTATTTACCGAAATGATGGTGTATTTATGCCTAATTTAGTTGATATTCATTAATTTCCAATGGGGTTATTTTCCACTGGAAAAATTTGAAATTTTACTATGATACGCCCCTGACTTTCCTCTTTTTTTCCAGAAAATGTCATAATTTTCTCCTGGACAGTTTTCCAGGAAATAAATGAAATATTAGATGGTGCATTTATGCCTAATTTAGTTGATTTTCATTAATTTCCAATGCGGTTATTTTCCACTGGAAAAATTTGAAATTTTACACTGGAAAAATTTGAAATTTCACTATGATACGTCCCTGAGTTTCCTATTTTTTTCAAGAAAATGTCATAGTTTTCCAGAAGAAAAATAAAATCTTGAATGGTGCATTTATGCCTAAATTAGTTGATTTTCATTAATTTCCAATGGGGTTATTTTTCACTGGAAAAATTTTAAATTTTAGTATTATACGTCCCTGACTTTCCTCTTTTTTTCCAGAAAATGTCATAATTTTTTCCTGAATAGTTTTCCAGAAAAAAAAAATGTTAGATGGTGCATTTATGTCTAATTTAGTTGATTTTCGTTAATTTCCAATGGGGTTATTTTTCACTGAAAAAATTTTAAAGTTTGGTATGATACGCCCCTGACTTTTCTCGTTTTGTTCAGAAAATTTCATAATTTTTCTTTGAATAGTTTTCCAGAAAAAAAATAAAATGTTAGATGGTGCATTTATGCCTAAATTAGTTGATTTTCATTAATTTCCAATGCGGTTATTTTCCACTGGAAAAATTTGAAATTTTACACTGGAAAAATTTGAAATTTCACTATGATACGTCCCTGAGTTTCCTATTTTTTTCAAGAAAATGTCATAGTTTTACAGAAGAAAAATAAAATCTTGAATGGTGCATTTATGCCTAAATTAGTTGATTTTCATTAATTTCCAATGGGGTTATTTTTCACTGGAAAAATTTTAAATTTTAGTATTATACGTCCCTGACTTTCCTCTTTTTTTCCAGAAAATGTCATAATTTTTTCCTGAATAGTTTTCCAGAAAAAAAAAATGTTAGATGGTGCATTTATGCCTAATTTAGTTGATTTTCATTAATTTCCAATGCGGTTATTTTCCACTGGAAAAATTTGAAATTTTACACTGGAAAAATTTGAAATTTCACTATGATACGTCCCTGAGTTTCCTATTTTTTTCAAGAAAATGTCATAGTTTTCCAGAAGAAAAATAAAATCTTGAATGGTGCATTTATGCCTAGATTAGTTGATTTTCATTAATTTCCAATGGGGTTATTTTTCACTGGAAAAATTTTAATTTTAGTATTATACGTCCCTGACTTTCCTCTTTTTTTCCAGAAAATGTCATAATTATCCTTTGAATAGTTTTCTAGAAGAAAAATACAATGGTGGATGGTGCATTTATGCCTAATTTAGTTGATTTTCATTAATTTCCAATAGGTTTATTGTCCATTTGAAAAATTTGAAATTTTACTATGATACGCCCCTGAGTTTCCTCTTTTTTTCCACAAAATGTCATAGTTTTCTCCTAGACAGTTTTCCAGAAAAATAAAATAAAATGTTAGATGGTGCGTTTATATCTAATTTAGTTGATTTTCATTTATTTCCAATAGGTTTATTTTCCATTTGAAAAATTTGAAATTTCAGTATGATACGTCCCTGACTTTTCTCTTTTTTTCCAGAAAATGTCATAATTTTCCCCTGAATAGTTTTCCAGAAAAAAAAAATGTTAATTGGTGCATTTATGCTTAATTTAATAGTTGATTTTCATTAATTCCCAATAGGTTTATTTTTCATTTGAAAAATTTAACTAAGATACGCACCCGACATTCCTTTTTTTGTTTCTAGAAAATGTCATAACTTTCTCCTGGACAGTTTTCCAGAAAAAAAAATAAAATGTTAGATGGTGCATTTATGTCTAATTTAGTTGATTTTCGTTAATTTCCAATGGGGTTATTTTTCACTGAAAAAATTTAAAATTTTAGTATGATACGCCCCTGAGTTTCCTCTTTTTTTCCAGAAAATGTCATAATTTTCTCCTAGACAGTTTTCCAGAAAAAAAAAATGTTAGATGGTGCGTTTATATCTAATTTAGTTGATTTTCATTTATTTCCAATAGGTTTATTTTCCATTTGAAAAATTTGAAATTTCAGTATGATACGTCCCTGACTTTCCTCTTTTTTTCCAGAAAATGTCATAATTTTCCCCTGAATAGTTTTCCAGAAAAAAAAAATGTTAATTGGTGCATTTATGCCTAATTTAGTTGATTTTCATTAATTCCCAATAGGTTTATTTTTCATTTGAAAAATTTAAAATTTAACTAAGATACGCACCTGACTTTCCTCTTTTTTTCTAGAAAATGTCATAATTTTCTCCTGGACAGTTTTCCAGAAAAAAAATAAAATGTTAAAATCCGTTTTTTTTTTAAAGATAAAAGTCAAAATGACATTATGTTGGCAATATAATGTAAAAGTGTCAATGCTTTCCATTGCTTTCAAATTTTTTATGTAGAAAAGGCTTGTGTTGCCAACAAAGTTACTAAATTTTTGACTTGGGGAATTATCTTTAAAAAAAAAACGAACTTTAGATGGTGCATTTATGTTTAATTTAGTTGATTTTCGTTAATTTCCAATTGGGTTATTTTTCACTGACAAAATTTAAAATTTTAGTATGATACGCCCCTGACTTTTCTCGTTTTGTCCAGAAAATTCCATAATTTTTCTTTGAATAGTTTTCCAGAAAAAAAATAAAATGTTAGATGGTGCATTCATGCCTAATTTACTTGATTTTCATTAATTTTCAATGGGGTTATATTCCACTGGAAAAATTTGAAATTTTACTATGATACGTCCCTGACTTTCCTCTTTTTTTCCAGAAAATGTCATAATTTTCGCCTGAATAGTTTTCCAGAAGAAAAATAAAATGTTGGATGGTGCATTTATGCCTAGTTTAGTTGATTTTCATTAATTTCCAATAAGGTTATTTTCCACTGGAAAAATTTGAAATTTTACTATGATACGTCCCTGACTTTCCTCGTTTTGTCCTTTGGGTAGTTTTCCAGAAAAAAAAATATATTAAGTGCCGCTACTTTTGCTCTCATTTGACAGCCGTTTAAAATAATCGGGGCTTTGAATGTGCTCTAATCACATCATACTTATATAGACCTTGGCCCATGCAAAACTTTGACAACGTATCAAATTCGTTAATCGAGAGCAAAAGTATCGGCCCTAAATGGTGCATTTATGACTGATTTAGTTGATTTTTATTAATTTCCAATAGGTTTATTTTTCATTTGAAAAATTTGAAATTTTAGTATGATACGCCCCTGACTTTTCTTGTATTGTCCAGAAAATTTCATAATAGTTCGATCTCTGTGTGTCCCACCGGGACAATAAGTGATCATCTGTCTCCAGCAGGATACTATAATTTGTACAAATGTACTATAATTTCATAGCGTTCTATACTATAATAGTTGATCCGCAGTTGGCAACACTGAGCTAGTTAAAAAAAAGATATAAGTAGTGGGTGTTCTAGAACTTGCATATTCCCAACGGTTAGACGATTATTTAGAATGAATTTTCAATTTCAATTTATTAACAACAAAATTCCAAATATGTAAAAGGTGGACATTTCATCAACAAGTTTTATGATTTTTCGCAAATCAGTTATTTAAATTGACCATTCCCAAATGAATCTGTAAGTCCTAACTAAGTGTCTTCTATCTGAAAACCAATTTTTTATTTTTAGAATATTCAAAAGACGGATCGGCACCAAATGTTCTCGAAAATGTTTCAAGAGACGCGCAATTTAGTCCTCTTCAAGAAAATGATGACGACTTTTCGCTTTCGCCAAAGTATCAATTTTCCGGATGCCTCCGCACACTACAAAATAGGTGAAGGGAAAACGCTGTTTGAACACCCTGTATATTGAAATTTCGAAAATTTAAAACTGTTATTTTCAAGCTCTTTAACCAAAGAACATTCTCTATGAATTTGTCTTATTATTTCAAAGCATTTTTGGATTTTTGGCAAAGAAAATTCACCTACAACATTTGCATTTGAAACCTAATTCTTGTTAATACAACTTATGCAGGATAGTTTATTTTAATATTTTAATAGACAAAACCACACAGGGAAACAAATTCCAAATAAACTTAGACCATTTTTTGGTTTCAAATGCGAATTTGAACCAAAAATATGTCGTTTCTGCATGAAGTAACAACATTATGTCATTTTGACCTTCTACATTTAATTCTGATACAAGAGTGTATATACTTGCCATTGTGGACGCCGACGCTGAATGTACTTTTGATCCAGAACATGGTGGCGTCTCACTCAAATCAATAATATCTTCCTGTTGGTCAGAAAGTACTGGCGTTCTATTATAGTTAATCGGACTTTCTGCAATAATTCGCTTTACGCTTTTGTTAAATGAATCATTTACTGGGCCATTCAATGTTTTACTTTTCAGTTGGGAAACTTTGTCTTTCAAAAACGAGATTTCCTTTGCATGACTCACTTGCAAGGTTTCCAATTGTATTCTGCGAAATTGAAAAATTATTAATATGTATTAATTAAAACTGTACGAATGAAAAAACATACTTCATGCTATCATAATTGAATTGTGTTTCTGACATTTTTCTTTTAGTCTGTGATAATTCGCTTTGCGTCTTCCTTAATTCATGTTGCAGCTCTTTCTTTTTCCTATCTGTATCAATTAGTGACCTTAAATTTAATATTTCGTTATCCAAAACTGAATAAAAATTTGGAAAACAAGTAAGTAATACTTTTTTAATGTTGCAGCAAGAAGCGCCAGAGATTCAACATTATTTTCATTTCTGATAATTTCGTCCACTTGAAGCCTGCTGCCCTCCACAGCTAGTTGTACGTGTTCTAAATCCTTTATCCGGTTTTTGTGCATCTTTACTTCACTTTCTAGTTGAGCACATTTTTTTGCTTCATTTTTGAAATATTTAATTTGGTCTTTCAATGCTGCTATCACAGATTCAAATCTAGGCGTTGCCAATTCTAGCTCCTTAATACTACTCCTAAAAATAGAAATTACAGTGAAATATTTTCCAAATCGAATTTTCTTCACAAACAAATTTCTATAACTCAAATATTGAGAATTGAGAACAAAAGTACATAATCAAGTAATTGAACAATCCCATTTAAAAATTTTACTTACCTTAAACTTTTATTTTGTTCTTTTAGTTTCTGATTAGTTTTTGCAATCTCGTTAGCGTCACGTTCTTTTAATTTCATACTAAATTCTGCAGCCTCTAGTTTGTACTGTAAAACTGTAGAGTCAGCTTCAGCCCCCTGAGATGCATTCACATTCATGTACAACCGAACCAGTACTTTTGGCGAGGCCTTTGCTCTGCATTGCGGACATGTTTTGGAACTGAAAATATTAATATCATAATCTTGTTACCAGAAAGACCATTCGACCATTGTTATATGATACATCCCCACCTACAGCGTTCACCTTTACAGGTAGATACTAGAAAATAGGTGTAAATACAAAAGTTATGCAGTTTTAGCTAAATTTTTAGAATCCATCATCAGAAACAAAAAATTATTGTCAGAAATTTGAAATTTTGCGTACTTTCAACTTATTTCAAATGGAATGCCCTATATTTGGTTCTATATTTTTGAAGAGCACTATTTTCCGATTCCAGAAATACATAGTTTGTCTATATTTGGATGAGCCGTCTCCAACATATTTGGCTTGTAATAGTATTTTACATTATTAGCCAGGTAAAACAGTTTTTACTGGTGATTGAAGGAAATGACTAGCGAGCCGTCAGGCGAGCTTGTCACCTTCAAGAGCCAGTAAAAACTGATACCTGGCGTATGATGTACAATAATTTATTTGTTACTCATTTGTAAACAATCTTAAACAATTAATAAAAAATTAATACATATAGGTAATACAATTTTAATAAATAATTCTCTGACCCTACTGACTTGTAAAAAGTTTTTACAGTTTAGCTGTCAATTTTACAAGTCAGTAGAGCCAGTAACTGGTAAAAATCAATTTTCGTTGTTTATGTTTTGACTTGTTAAATGAGGTTTTACAAATGAGTGACAAATAAAAATATTATTCTAATAACTTAGATTTTTTGAGCCATGCTACCTGTAAAGGTGAAAGCTGCAGGTAAAATTTGAGGCACTTGGTTTTTCTGATAGTTATATTTTTTTTATAAAATATGTGTTCTTCCTGCTCGGTATGCTGGCTGGACTTCACTTTAAAAGGGTTTTGATGTTGAGTCCTCCAACCTGGTTCCAGAGCAAGAGTAATCCTCATGTACAGCCTTATCTGCTACATGGACCTTCAAATCTTGGATAGTTTGTCAATATTGTTTTCTGTCCAAGTGTGATACCCAAGGTGATATCAGAACTCTGCTTCTCAAGTGAAGTGAAATATTTTGATAAATTAACCTTCTCATGCTAACTTTGTTCTTCATGTAGATTCCGATGTTTGGGTTTTGGCTTTTTTTAATTTTCACTATCTGTCCTAGGTGAATGCATTCGCTAACTTTTTCCAAATGGAAGTTATCAATGGTGACTCTTCCTTCTTCGGCGTTATTTGTCATCATTTTTATTTTCCTTATATTCTACTTCAGCCCCATCTCTTGCCAACTGATTAGTCAGTCATAATGATATAATTTTTAGAGCCAAATATGTTGGAGAACTCAACCAAATACAGACAACTTGACAACTATATGTATATTTTTGGAATCGGAAATTTGTGCTCTTGATGAATATAGAACCAAATATAGGGCATACCATTTGAACAAAGTTGAAAGTACTTACCTTAAATTTCAAATTTAGGTCAATAATATTTTTGTTTCTGATGATGGATTCTAAAAATTTAGCTAAAACTGCACAAGTTTTGTATTTGCACCTATCATCTACCTGTAAACGTAAAGGCTGCAGATGGGGGGTCAAAATAATATAGTGAATAACCCATATCATAACATCATATTGAACGTAGTTCGACGGAAGCATGGACACAACTTCTAGCCACTGTTCAAACTCATGACGTCACAGAGGAACTATGGTTCGTCCTTGGATGAATTACATTCGTTGCGAAAATTCGGTTTTGTATGGCTGAATCTGACAATCAGTATAAGTATAACCATGTTAATGAGAATATTTTTTCAGAATGAAAAATACCTTTTTTCTATTGACGTTTCATAATATGCTTATTAAATAATTAAAATCTGTTCCATAATGAACTTCATTATGATATAGATTTCCATTATGATACAGATTTTTCAGCCACTGGAACCAAGTTATTTTGAACATGAACAATGTTCATATTAAAATAAAAGACTTGTTTTCGAATTTTGGATTGTTTCTATTAGTATTTACCTCGGTATTTACCAAAAGAAACAACAAAAAATTAATAAATCGGGTGCGGAATTTATGCCCAAATAACGTCTAGATCTTAATTTTCGAAATTGTCAATATATGGCACTAGTTAGCAACGATTTTATTCTCATTGATGTGAATTCCCTTGACGACTAGTGTGCACTTGTATGTTTGTTTGTGACTACTTGTTGAATACCTCATCACTGCTGGCCAAATAATGAATATTCAGCAAACCAAATACTTGGTGCATTCCTAGAAAGTGTATATAAAAATTCCGAAAAACGAGTGGACTAAAATATGAAGTAAGTATGTTATATCTTGTTGTATCATTCTAATCGGAATGAGATATCGTCGGCATCATATGAAAACTGCCCAAGTCCAAAAAGGTAAATTTTACAGGAGGCGCCAAAAACCTTTGTGAAGAAAAACTACATGATACAAATCGTAAAAATCACCGGCAAGAATGCACAGAAGAAATTGGACTTAAGGTAAAGTACCCAGTTGTTGACAGGGTCCCAAAAGTTGACACATTAGCATATTATTCCCGAAAATAAGAATTTATATAGGTTATAAGCTAACTGAAATAGCTTATAGTATTGTTGCAGCCATCTTTCAGGCTATAGCTGATGTATGGATTTGAAATGACAAGTTTTTTCAAAATTGTGGCAAGAAGTAGTGAACAGGTGCAAATGTTTGAATTTTTTCCCAGATTTCTAGTGAAAATAGTTAAGAAGATATAAAAACAAAAGTTCTCAAAGCTAAGGTAGGGTTGATAAATTATGAATAATATATATTTACTGTATAATAAGAAACATTATAATACATATTTATTATTGTTTTATCTCTTAAACAACTGGCATAAACTTTTTAAGGGGGGGTTGTCAACTATTGAAGCCCAAATCGAGGGGTGATCCAAATGTTGACACTAGTGTCAACTTATGGATTTTTGGCGGTAAAAATATTTTAGCATTGTAGTCTGTCTCTTTTTATTGCTCTGGATTAAAAAGAAACCTAGATATGGGTTTGGGGAATGTAACGGTCGTAGATCCAAAAGATGACACCCCTGTTACCCCTGTCAAGGTTTGGAGCTTTGGAGTGTCAACAATTGGTCCTTTGAAGAGATGACGCATGAAAAATGGAAATTGCTGAAATATGCACCAGAACTACCAGAAGATGTGATTGCTGCATTGGATGATTGCGATAGGGGGCTCACTGCAGCTACAGCAGCAAAAAAACACATTGTACCAATGCTTTCCAAGCAATTTTTTTTATTAGCAATTTGGAATTGAAATTTGTATTTTTTTCGCAACAAAAAGTTTCCCAATGTTATTTTTTATTATTAAAAAGTTTGATTCTTACATTATTGATGTTTTTACCAGGGTTTCTACTGATACAGGCAACATGTCAACTATTGGTTTCAAGAGTGTCAAGTAATGGAACCACAACATGTACTTAAAAAAAATTAAAATAACTGGTTGTTATGTGTATTATTATATTTCATTTAAAAAATTGTACACTTAGAAAAATATACCTCTTAGTTCCACAGACCGTGATAAAATTTCCTAAAAGTAAAAATTTGGTTTTGTAAAAAAATATATGTCAACCTTTGGATCAAAAATGTGTCAACTTTTGGCGCAGTGAACTTTTTTGGGTGTCAACTATTGGGGTTTTATCACCTTTCAGGTATTTTTGGCATAATAACACAAATAATAGGAATATAGAGTAAATAATATATCTACACATTCAATTATGAGTTTGAAATCACGCTAAAAAATATATCATAGCCTTGGGATTGAAAATTTGGAAAATGTGTGGTGATCATAAGCAAGGATACCCTTAACATGTCTTTTTTGACTTTTGACTTTACCTTACGCAAGTTTCACTCTGTCTTAAGACGACGACGGACTTGTGCAAATTTGTTTTCATGATTGTGTGGCTCCATCTAACAATTTATTGCTCAAATATTTTGTTGGATCATAGATTATTGAGTTTCTCACAAGACTGCACTAAAATCTTAATTTTGAAAAAAATTGGACTTCGGCAATTTTCATATGATGCCGACGATATTCTATCCTATCAAACACATACATATATAATATACAGGGTGTCCCATTTGAAAAAATATAATGTAAGTAGGCTAATATGTCAGAAAATTGATAGTGTTTTGTTCTATATGTAACTTGAAAAAAAAAACTTGATACTTAAAAATACTAAATAATATAACATATTATCTATTATCAAAAGATAACACAACAACCATCTTTTAAAGGTTCTCATTATTAGCTTCAGGCTTTGGAAACACATACCTACATCCATAGTTGGGCAGAAAACCGTTAATCCGTTAATTAACGAAGTTAAAAAAATTGCTTAATTTTAACTTTTAAGTTAACCTAAAAAATATTAACGGTTTTCTTATCTTCCGTTACATTGGACTTCCGTTAACTTTAGTCTGTTACGTACATAAATGACGTCATTTTGTTTGCTTGAATTGCGCGTCAAGGTCAATCGGAACAGTTCGCACAGGTGTAGAAAGATTTCAGTTTGCTACACTACGCAGTTTGGAACTGTTCTGGAATGACCCCAAACCCGATCCCGTACAGTGAGATTGATACGCAAGCTCTTAGTTCTCTTGTTAAGTAGGCTGTCAGCTGAGGCGTATAGTTGGACTGTGGCGTTGTATGCATTGTTCTATAAGCTCGTTTTGCTTGCAGAGGTGAATGGTAAATAAATCAGCTACCCAAATTGGAAATAGTGCTGCTTTTTAGATCTAGATACTTTTTGTTTTATTCACATTTACCTGTGTAGGAGTGTAGGTATAATATTTATAATACCCATTTGGAATAACACCATCTTTGTTCCTCAATCATGAATCAGATGAAACAAAAAATTACCAACCAATCACAAATCACTGAAACGACTGGTAGGTACTTCCAAATAGGTATTAAAAATACTATACCCTAGCCTAGCCTATTCTATTTCAATTAACTATTACCTATAATTAGCTTCAAACATCAGTATAACTTTTCAATGATTAACTCTTAACTTAACGGATAACTTTAAATTGGGTTATATTCTCAAAAATTTAACGATTTGCGATTATCAAAGTTAACTTTTCAAGTAGCGAATTAACGATTAACTAACTTTCCGATTAACTGTGCCCACCTTTGCCTACATCCTAGATGTTTAACAGTCAATTACCAAACAACCTGTTTTTAATTTCTAGTTCCAAATTGTTGGGTATTGTTGTACTGGGTACCATAACCATAGTATAGTATGACTTATATTCGAGCTTATATTATAAGTAAAGTTCTACCTTCTACCATTCTATGCTTCTACTTGAGTAGGTACTTACTTTTCAAACCAGTGCAATAAGCAGTGATAATGGAAAATATGACCACATGGTGTTGTATAAATACTAGCACTAGGAGTAAATAAATCACTACATATCACACATGTTATATTCATTGTCTTCAATTTCAATTATACAAGAAAAAAGGTTATTTCCTTTTTATTACTGAGCTGTTAAAAAAAATTCAGGATAGTTTGCTTTAGGTTTTGAAATTTCATGATTATTATTCTATTGAAACACAAGAGCAACACTGTAAACATTCAATTTTCAATAAAATTCAAAAACTGAACCGCAACGCAAACATAAACAAACATACGGCGGTTGTCATTGTTGTCAATAATGTCAATCTCGTGCTGTCAAATTTGGAATATGACAATTCAATGACGTACGTTAAGCTAGCTCCAAAAACCAGCTCCTAAAAATTAGTACATGTGTTCGGGAACGCAGTCGCTTCTGTGAAGCTGGCTCCTTGGCTGACTGTTGATTATTTTATTGAATATTGTTCCGATTATTTTTGATTATTATAAGGAAAATCGAACTATATAATAGAAAAATTACCATAAAATAAACACAATTTATTTATGAGTTTCATTCATTCAATTCAATGTTTCATTATTTTAGAAGTTACGTTGAAATAATAATAAAGAATAGGAATGTGCACGTAATCGATGTCGACGTCCAACTTTCTTAATATGCGGAATTTAAAATTAAAACTTTCGGGATACGTAAAAGGCCACTAGGGCTACTTAAATGGGTTACAAACGTAGACTTTATAAGAAAAAAATTATTTTCGATTAAGGGCCTAATTAGGAGCTGAGGCCGTACCGCCCTTATTGGCAGGATTCTTAACATGAAATTTTTATGGTAGATGGAGGGTTTATAGAGCTACCTAAATCTACCCTCAAACTTGGGTTATATACGCAGGCTTAATGAGAAAAAAATTAATTTCGATTTAGGGCCTAATTAGGAGCTGAGGCCGTACCGCCCTTATGCGGTGTGTGTTATGAGAAAAAAATTAATTTCGATGAAGGGCCTAATTAGGAGCTGAGGCCGTACCGCCCTTATTGGCAGGCTTCTCAACATGAAATTTTTAGGGTAGATAGAGGCTCCATAGGGCTACCTAAATCTACCCTCCAAATTGGGTTACATACGCAGGCTTTATAAGGAAAAAATTATCCGGGGAAGTCCGGCCGGAATTCGGAAAAATGTACGGGAAACTCGGAGATCGTGAAAACAACCTAAATTAATTTTTTTCTCGTAAAGCCTGCGTATGTAACCCAAGTTTGAGGGTAGATTTAGGTAGCCCTATGGACCCTCCATCTACCCTAAAAATTTCATGTTGAGAATCCTGCCAATAAGGGCGGTACGGCCTCAGCTCCTAATTAGGCCCTCACTTAATCAAAATTAATTTTTTTCTCATAAAGCCTGCGTATGTAACCCAAGTTGGAGGGTAGATTTAGGTAGCCCTATGGACCCTCCATCTACCCTAAAAATTTCATGTTGAGAATCCTGCCAATAAGGGCGGTACGGCCTCAGCTCCTAATTAGGCCCTAAATCGAAATTAATTTTTTTCTCATTAAGCCTGCGTATGTAACCCAAGTTTGAGGGTAGATTTAGGTAGCCCCATGGATCCTCCATCTACCCTAAAAATTTCATGTTGAGAATCCTGCCAATAAGGGCGGTACGGCCTCAGCTCCTAATTAGGCCCTCACTTAATCAAAATTAATTTTTTTCTCATAAAGCCTGCGTATGTAACCCAAGTTGGAGGGTAGATTTAGGTAGCCCTATGGACCCTCCATCTACCCTAAAAATTTCATGTTGAGAATCCTGCCAATAAGGGCGGTACGGCCTCAGCTCCTAATTAGGCCCTAAATCGAAATTAATTTTTTTCTCATTAAGCCTGCGTATGTAACCCAAGTTTGAGGGTAGATTTAGGTAGCCCCATGGATCCTCCATCTACCCTAAAAATTTCATGTTGAGAATCCTGCCAATAAGGGCGGTACGGCCTCAGCTCCTAATTAGGCCCTCACTTAATCAAAATTAATTTTTTTCTCATAAAGTCTGCGTATGTAACCCAAGTTGGAGGGTAGATTTAGGTAGCCCCATGGATCCTCCATCTACCCTAAAAATTTCATGTTGAGAATCCTGCCAATAAGGGCGGTACGGCCTCAGCTCCTAATTAGGCCCTCACTTAATCAAAATTAATTTTTTTCTCATAAAGCCTGCGTATGTAACCCAAGTTGGAGGGTAGATTTAGGTAGCCCTATGGACCCTCCATCTACCCTAAAAATTTCATGTTGAGAATCCTGCCAATAAGGGCGGTACGGCCTCAGCTCCTAATTAGGCCCTAAATCGAAATTAATTTTTTTCTCATTAAGCCTGCGTAAGTAACCCAAGTTTGAGGGTAGATTTAGGTAGCCCCATGGATCCTCCATTTACCCTAAAAATTTCATGTTGAGAATCCTGCCAATAAGGGCGGTACGGCCTCAGCTCCTAATTAGGCCCTCACTTAATCAAAATTAATTTTTTTCTCATAAAGCCTGCGTATGTAACCCAAGTTGGAGGGTAGATTTAGGTAGCCCCATGGATCCTCCATCTACCCTAAAAATTTTATGTTGAGAATCCTGCCAATAAGGGCGGTACGGCCTCAGCTCCTAATTAGGCCCTCACTTAATCAAAATTAATTTTTTTCTCATAAAGCCTGCGTATGTAACCCAAGTTTGAGGGTAGATTTAGGTAGCCCTATGGACCCTCTATCTACCCTAGAAATGTCATGTTGAGAATCCTGCCAATAAGGGCGATACGGCCTCAGCTCCTAATTAGGCCCTTAATACAAATTAATTTTTTTCTCATAAAGCCTACGTATGTAACCCAAGTTTGAGGGTAGATTTAGGTAGCCCTATGGACCCTCCATCTACCCTAAAAATTTTATGTTGAGAATCCTGCCAATAAGGGCGATACAGCCTCAGGTCCTAATTAGGCCCTTGATCGAAATTAATTTTTTTCTCATTAAGCCTGCGTATGTAACCCAAGTTTGAGGGTAGATTTAGGTAGCCCTATGGACCCTTCATCTACCCTAAAAATTTTATGTTGAGAATCCTGCCAATAAGGGCGGTACGGCCTCAGCTCCTAATTAGGCCCTTAATCGAAATTAATTTTTTTCTTATAAAGCCTGCGTATGTAACCCAAGTTTGAGGGTAGATTTAGGTAGCCCTATGGACCCTCCATCTACCCTAAAAATTTCATGTTGAGAAACCTGCCAATAAGGGCGGTACAGCCTCAGCTCCTAATTAGGCCCTTAATCGAAATTAATTTTTTTCTCATAAAGCCTGCGTATGTAACCCAAGTTTGAGGGTAGATTTAAGTAGCCCTAGTGGCCTTTTACGTATCCCGAAAGTTTCAATTATTCCGCATATTAAGAAAGTTGGTTGGACGTCGACATCGATTACGTGCACATTCCTATTCTTTATTATTATTTCAACGTAACCTCTAAAATAATGAAACTCATAAATAAATTGTGTTTATTTTATGGTAATTTTTCTATTATATTCATAGTTCGATTTTCCTTATAATAATCAAAAATAATCGGAAAAATATTCAATAAAATAATCAACAGTCAGCCAAGGAGCCTGCTTCACAGAAGCGACTGCGTTCCCGAATACATGTACTAATTTTTAGGAGCTAGATTTTAGGAGCTGGATTTTAGGAGCTAGCGTAACGTACGTAATCACAATTCAATGCAGGGGCGCATTCACGATTCGACAACCCGGGTTATACTCTAAACAGGTAAATTTTACCCGGGTAATTTGAGTGACTTAACTGGGTTAAGAACAATGAAGTAGGTTAAGAAACGCCCATAAAGCCAAAACTGACACAATTTTGGCATTAACAGCTTGTTAAAAAAGTCAAATTGTTGATTATTTTGATGCAATACAAGGTGGATTCAAAAATTTGTGCCAATTCCAATGGCCGCAACTGTTCAGGGTGTCCGAATTTGGATGGTTTTAATAGGAAACGTCAATTTCTGAGCGAGATACAAAAAAATGAACCCCCCACTCCGAGGTTCGGGTTTATTGAAATTTTGATTGGTGCAAACCGCATTTTGATATCTACAACCGTTTAGCCGCTAGAGGGCGATTTTCGATTTTGAGCAATACTGTGAAATCTTCATAACTTTTTTGTTTATGAAAATAACTGATTTCCGTAAAAACTTCCTAGAAGCACTTTTTCATGCAGAATTCAGAGACGTTTTCAGTTTTTTTCTATTCGGCCTCGATTTCAAGATATTGACCAAAATACGATTTTTTTCAATGGGACACCCTATATATTAATAGTTCATTAGAAAGCTCTGTTTTTGCTGATTTCAATGATACAAATTTCGATAGGTTTATCTCTGACAGTTTTCGAGAAAATAGCTATTCACCTAACAAGTGCGGAAAATGAATTTTTCTGCTGTCGTTCACCGAACGACGCGTAGCGGAGTTCGGTGATGCAGCCGAGTGCGGAAAAATATTTTTCGCAAGTGTTAGGTACAATATTTTTCCTACAGGCGAAAAAATGTAAAATTTTTCTTTTTTTTTTTTGACATATCAGTGCGGTAAAATTTTTTCCGCACTGACAGCCGTGCGGAAAAACTTTTTCCGCACTGATATGTCAAAAAAAAAAGTTTTACCGCACCATGCGGGAAAACTCATTTTCTGCACGCATATCAGTGCGGAAAATCGATTTTTCCGCACGGCTGTAGGAAATAGTTATTTTCCTAACAAGTGCGCAAAGCTTCGCGTCGTTCGTATAACTGTGTTTGCGTGCGGAAAAGACACTTTGCGCACGTGTTAGGAACTAAATTTTTCCTACGAGCTTCATATCAGGTAGGTAACAACAAAAATTTAGAAAAAAAATTATTTGTTCAACTATTTTTAATTAACTTGAAGCGAACCTATGCAGTTATCAAAAAATTACATAACAAAAAAAAAATAACAGAAAATCATCGTCAGAGCCCTTTTTTTAAAACGTTTAAATTTGATGAGAAAGTTTGTAGATTCTTGCATATCAATAGAGAACAAATCTGACAATGTGTCAAAGTTAATTAAATTTGGTGTTTGTATAGATGTTGGCT